GGCAGAAGAACCCCTCTGGTATAAATATTTGGTTCACTGATTCCATATTTTATCGACAAACAGTTCATTTCACGATGCCACGCCAAAAATAGACAAATCCTAAACCTTCCAAACTTCGTCTTTAAAAAAACTCAGTTATGAAATTCTATGTTCCCGAGTTCTTTATGATAGAAGGAGTTTACTGGCACTTGTCATTTTCGACCATATTCTTACTGTAGATCTGAAGTAGCGTTTTTGTGCCACGATTAATGCACATGTGGCAAGGCGTTTTCGTTACAAAAATCTTCGAATTGTCGGTGGCTTGACTGTCGTGTTGTTTGGCGCTCTCCAGTCCAGAGAAATGCATTTCGTAATGGTTACTTGAGCTCAAGTGACGCAGAAGTTAAACCACAATGTAAGATTACAAGTAATCGATGTTTGCATCCCCTTCAACAGTGAACGCGAAGCACAATCAGTGAGAGTGAAACGCAAGCAACCTCGACTCCGTTTTGAAAGTTTTAATAAGGCGCCCTGTCATTCTTGATACAGATATAAGTTTCATACGTTCAAAGTATCTAAGGCACAAATTTAATCAAATCACATATTTTAAATATTGTTTTAATTTATTTAAATTAATTTGAAACGAAGTTAATCTATTTTGAAGTTAATTCAAACATGTAGGCAGAAAAATCATCACCAAACCGCTGTCAGTTCGGCCATGTAGACTGCGGATGCTTGTTCATCTTTGGACCCGTGCGTATCGAAAAACTTTTCGTCTTGAACGGTCTCCTTGAAAAATGATTGTAGAGTAATCAACAGTAATCGGTACTTTTGAAGTCTAACGTATTCAGCTAAGGACATATACCATATACTATTTTGAAAGCTGACTGAGCTTAAGCGGCATGGGTCAAAAGCTTCTGTGGACCATGTTGCGAAATCAAAATATACCCATCGCTGACGACAGCTCATGAACAAAAGTTCCTAATGAGCGACCTTTTCCAGATCCCCGTTTGCCAACTCGTTTTCGATGTGTCATTAAAGATAATGTCCTCAATTTGCCTCATTAGACAAAACATGATAGATGAACATGCGAATAAAAAATTTTCCTCGATTAAACCTGAGTTTGTAGCAGAGGGTCAAATCAATGAAAATCGTGCTAACGAATGTTTGTTCATAGAAGGGAGGAAAGGACAAGTTTGTCACTGTTGGAATATAGATCTTAACTTTTTTATGTCAGTGATTTTGAAGTTCTGCTTTTCATGAATTTCATGGAACCATGCTGATTTCCGTTTCAATGACATGAGCAAAGAGTACCTTATTTTAACGACAGAGTCTAAGAGCAGGGCAAACTTAAATTGAAATCTCCTGTTTCCTTACTACCGACTGATACTCATGTATCAACTTCAGATGAAGGAAGGGCGAATGTCCCAGATCGGGACCGGAATTAAGGACTGTCAATTCTGAGGTCGACTGCCTACTGACTGAGTAACCCCGTTTGGAGCAAGTGTGAAAAACTCCTTTCTGAAAGTAATTCTTAAATATGACAATGACTGCCTTCGAGCGGAAAGGAATCCGGCACCACCAGAGTTCAAAACGGAACCTTTGAACTTGCGTTAACACGCTCTGGTCCACAGTTGCTTACAAACAAAATATGAATGTTTTGTTACAAGCACACCAACTGCTGCCATTCAATGACTTTCAAGCTCAAATAATGAAGTGTGCATGTGTTGCCAAGCGTCATATGAAATTAGAAAAACCAGTAGATTTCTATAATATTTTTAAGACTCTAAAAACGAGAAAGTTCCTATTTAATTAATGGAAGATTCATATCACCTTGACGTTCATAATGTTGAACTTTCTCAAGAGCTCAAAGCATTATTTTCTTTCAAGAGGAGTGTTTTTGTCATAATTATTCCTTCGTTTAAAAGTCAATGGAATCTTCATTTGAAAGTTGGTTATTCTATTATTATTTGATATCATATTTTGAAACAAAATTAGTTCATTCCATGTTTCAGTATAATAATTCCAACATCGTCTTCCATGTTCGATTCAACTTGGCTCTGTGATTCAACACCATTAATACCGATTTCAGATATGAAGGTAAAAAACATTCATGTCCTGGGCTAACTGTCAAAACGTTTTCGATGCTGTTGGTTAAAACATCCGGCCGCTAGACCGAATTTACACCCCGTAATCGCAAGGGGGTTACGGGGTGTAAATTCGCAACAACTGCCATGTGGGTGAACACATGGCAGTTGTTTAAACATCATGGAGTCATGGTCAGGGCTAAAACGTCCATTTGGCATTTAGAAACAAGGATACGAACCCATTACTCTGTGTAAATCTAGTAAAGAAACAGAACATTGCTGTGACCGGTGGTAATGTAAAGTGCCACTTCTGGAAGTCGTCTGAGAATATCAGGAAATATAGAAAATTCATTTGTCCAATTGATAAGTTAAATCATTATGTGTTGCACTGGGACCTTTCATACTAACTGAACCCAACTTGCAAGATATATTTTTGCCTTATCCGACATGATTACTCTAACCCTATAATTCCGTTTTACACTACTGCTTCAGAACAAGACCAGGTTGAATGGGTGAAAAAGTTACTGACGAACTTTTAGCGAAGATCCACGTAACTACTGTCACTAAGCCTGTTCGAAACCCCGCAACCATTTGACAAGAACCGCTGCTATCTTCCTGCTGGCCAGAATTGTAAGCCATGATCAACTTGTCATGTTTATCAACTTGTCCATACAGCAGCTGTGCCAGTATCTGTGATAAAACCTTTTAGGGTTGTCTCATATTCTAATTTATTCATTGCAGGGACCCACTGGAAAACAACCGAGGTCACTAAGTTCTTACAGTTGATAAATTTAAATCTGGATTACAGAAAGCAGTGCATAAAAGCAAATGTGGTTTGATATCATGGTTTCAATGGTTACACCTTGCGCTTAATGTCCGCTAGCCCTCAAGTAAGCTAAGGCTGAGACG